AAAAAAAAAAAAAAAACTTTTAACAATCAATCGATTCGGAGAAAAGGTTAGTTGTTATTTTAATGTAATGTAATTATATTTTTTTTTTGTTTATGAATGTGTAAGAAATATTTGTTGGTTTTGATGAGTATAGTTTAGAAAAGATTTATTGTTGATTTAATATTTGTGTTAAATGATTTTACATTGTTCTTGGATGATGGGTTTTGGTGTATGTTGAGAATTTATCGGAAAATTGGATGATTTGTATTGTATGGTTGGATTATGAGAATTAGGGTTTTGGAGAGTTATTTTATAAAAGAATTGGTGATTTTTTTTTTGTTATTGTAGTACTAATTGGAAATATTTATCTTGATTTGAGTAAAAAAATCATTGAATATTTAATTTTTTTTTTGTTGGGGATGATAAAAGAATAATTGAATTTTTTGAAAAATTATGTGTTGTTGTAACTGGGAAGAATTGAAAGTGTATTATATGTTATTGATGGATTATGAGTGTTAGGGTTTCTGAGGATTATTTGATAAAAGAATTTGTGATTTTATTTTTAATGTTGTAGTATTAATTGAAATTTTAATTTTAGTAAAAATAATTTTGAATTTTATTTTTTGGTTGTGGGAATGATAAAAGAATAATTGAATTTTTTGGGTGTTGGGTTAGAAAGTGTGTGTTGTTGTAATTGGGAAGAATTGAAAGTGTTTTTTGCAACAGGTATAAATGGCGTCTACCAGACCATACTTTGTCAATGTGTATTGGAATCATTCCAAGGAGTTGTTATGTGATTTTTCATATTTTAAAATCTCTCCGGATGGTTCATTTAGCATTGGGGAGAAGATATCATTTGAACAATTGGTAGATATGCTTTATGAAAATTTTGGGTTTCGCCAAAATGGTTGGATAATTGAGGAGATTAGTTTACTGACTAACCAACCCGATGGGTCGTGGAATATTGGAAACCTGAATACTGATAGTGCTCTTCACTGGATATATTATTTTCCTCCTTTCTCCTATGTGTATTTGCATTTAGAGTTGAAGCAGGTTACGCAGGCACCTACAGAGGTTACGCAGTTTGAGGATGTTGCCCCTTTTTACGGGGGAGTGGCTGATGTTGAGGGTATGTCCACTTCGCATGTTTGTAATTTTAGCGAAGGGACAAGCTCAACAATTAGAGAATGCGATAATGAGGAAGAAAGTGATGATGATTTCATTCCTGGTGAAGACGATTTCACAGATGATACCTCGGAAACGGAATCGGATAGATCAATAAACGAGGAGAGTGAACCAGAATTTATTGAAGAACACCCATTTCCTAGTAGCGGTCAGCACGTGTATCGCGAGATGGGTGAGTGGGACCCGTCGTGTGTAGACCGAGATGAGCATGCTTTGCTACGTTGGAATGGAAATGTTGAGACTATCCGTTTGGATACTGTTTTTCGGTCCAAGGAAGAAGCACACATGGGTATCATGAATTGAAACGTTAGTAGGTTGAGGGAGGTTAAGACAACATATTCGAATAAGAAATCATTCAAGGTGGTGTGCAAATCTAACGAAGATCAACCTTGTCCGTGGAGCTCGGGTGACGCTCTGCACACGGGTTCATGAACTGTGGAAAGTAATGGAATGGACTGAGAGGCACAGTTGTATGCAAGAAGTCGAAAAAAGTGACCACAGAAATGTAACCGCCACAATGATTTCAAATCTTGTCATGACCAAGATTCAATAGAAACTCGACTACAGTGTTAGCCTGATCCAGAAGGATGTTAAAAAATGTTGGAAAGTCGATGTGAGCTATAAGAAGTCATGGCACGGAAAGAAAAAAGCCATCGGTCGTTTGTATGACACTTGGAAATCGAACTTCGCACAACTCCCTCAGTAAGAAAAAATTTATTACAAATGTACGTGTTATTTGTCACTATGTTTATGTATTGACGATTACGTTTTGTAACGTGCAGGTTTTTTGCGGCGCTTCAAATAGCGAATCCCACTACAGTTGTACAGTGGGAATGGCAGGGTGGGGAAATGGCGGCCCACTATCAGCACAGAGAATTCAAATTTGTTTTCTGGGCATTTGGTCCCGCCATTCACACCTTCCAGAGATGCCCGCCGGTAATTAGCATGGACAACACACATTTGCGTGGCTCGTACAAGGGGAAGTTGCTTGTGGCCGTTGCACAAACTGGGAATAAGCGGCTATTGCCAATCGCCTATGCGATTGTGGATGAAGAGAGCTGTTGTAGTTATTTTTATCGGAGTTAAATCGAAAGATTCGAACACAGGATCGTATCTCAAGGAAGGTCAGCCGGATTATTTGTACGGATATTCAATCACACTAAAAAGAAAATAAATTCCTAAACACTCTAATTCAATGATTTTGGTTTTCAATTATCAACTAATAATTCTTAAACAATGCAAATAAACAATTATCAATACTTAAAACGAGTTTCTTCTACGTACGAAGGCTAGGGAAACAGGGATGATTATACTCAAATAAAATTCAAACACCAAGCAAAAATCGTTCGGCAAAATGATTCACTCAACCTACACATCTAGAAATTATTCCTGAATAACTTCTCGTAACAAGAGGAAAAATATAGACAACAAATCAAACCAATCAATTGACACGTAGGCAATACAATTACGAACAAGCCTACTCTAGTCGAGCCTAGATCGACTGACTTCTCCCCTTTCGGTTCTACAAGTCAATTAATTAGATCAGAATGGTGATCATGCATCTAACCCTAGGTTTAAATCAACTCGAAAATATTGAACGAAATTCACAAGCAAGATAAGCACACGAGTACGAGTAATCACCCCTATCCCTAGCTTAAGAATTTAGCCACTCATGCCAAGATGAACACAAGACATAGTATAAAGCAAATACTCCAAACTCATAATCAAAATGACAAGAAAGCTTACGATAAATAAAAGTCAAGTGTTGAATCTCAAGCACAATCCAAATCCACAATAAAATTCCTTGGGTGTCACTCCCAAAATATCAAAATAAGCCAAAGATAAAAGAAACAAGTTTTTCGTCTGATAAAACGAGAGAAAAATGAAAAGTGCAAAATGAATCCTATGCCCTAGCCCGATCCTCCTAAATAGGAATAACATTTCGAAATTTAAAAGTCCCGGCGCCGCGGCGCGACGTGATGATGTGACAGAAGTCGTGGTCTTCGATCACGGCGTGAAGGAGCTGAATTGCCGCGGTGCTAGGCATGTCACGGCGTGGCAGCTGGGGAAGCTCAACTTCTCTGTACGCCCGTGGAGACCGTCACGGCGTGGCTATCAGCGTGGGAGAGCGGAAGTCCACGGTGCGTCACCTTCCTCGGCGTGGGAGAGCGGAAGTCCACGGCGCGTCACCCTCCTCGGCGTGGCAGCTGGAGAAGAATCGTCTGAAGGCCCGTTAGGGGCTCCGCGTGTGTGGTCGCGCCATGAAAGGAGTGAAGTGCCGCGGTGCGCCGCGGCAACTGGGAAGGCTCGATAGTGCATGTGCTTTATAAAACCGGGACAGCTCGACTTGGTAAACTTCGAACACTTAGTCAAAGATTTGAACCTGCACACCTCCAAAAACAAGAATAACACCCGAAAACAGAGGAAACAACCGAATATACAAAAATAACGAAATAATAGAAAGACATCACACAAACGACTCGAGGACCGGAAATCTTATCGAAAAACCTAAACCGGGGGCTAAAAACCTAAAAACCAACAAGCAAAAAGATAACAAAAATGGGACAAACAACTCCCCCACACTAAAACCTTTGTTCGTCCCGAACAAAAAAAAAAAGAAAGGAAAAGAAAAGAAAAACAAAACAAACGAGCAACGACAACGGTTCAAGCAAGACTATTCTCAAATCAATCAATCAAGTCAAGAAGAATTCAAATGATCACAAGAGCACACCTCAACTATTAACTTGGCTATTTTGAAGGACACAAACTCTCGAATACAAAAGTATATCATATGTGCCTCACTCAATTTCTTTCTCAAATATCAGCTGGGTACACTAAAATTGGTCATCAGTCGAATCAATCATAAATTTACCTATCATCTAACTTTGACTCTAAAATAATCAAATTCGTGAAACAATGAATCAAGAAGACTTTAAGGGACGTAACATAGGCTCTTTGGATCGGGTAGGATAATATAGGCTAACTGGCTAAAATAAAAAAAATCAAATCAACTCAATCAGATAACCATAATCATGAACTGTTTCGGTTGCTGACACCAACCGGTTCCTCCCACTACTCCAAAACCAACATACTTCCCAAATTATTCACCATATCTCTCTTTTTTTTTCTTTTTTATGCGAGAACCTTTGGACATTTTAATAATCCATTTGGTTTCTCTCTTTTTCTCTTTCTTTTTTATTTTGTGAGAACCTTCGGACATTTTATGTAATCCATTCGGTTTCTCTTTTTTTCTATCAAATTATATATATACAAATACGAATCACCTCCAATTCTACACTTGCAACTCCACAATATCATCGTCACGAGGTGTTAAAAGAAAGAAAATCAATAAGGCTCAAAGGGGGTGACTAGCGAAATTATTTTCAGAAAAATAAAAGGGAAAGGAAATACAAAGAATGCCTCAACCATATTCACGTTCATAAATCCAATTATTTCATTTCTAAGTAGACTCAAGGAAAATTCTAATTGACAACGATTCTGACCAATAACTCACAAGAAAAGAAATGAAGTGGATCAAACCTCACAAGGTGAAATAAATGTCGACAAAACAACCAAGCCAATTCATCAAAATGTGCCACTCATTCTCATCATCACAACTTCTTCACCCAATCAATCAATCATTAACCATTCTTACAATACACCAAAGTTCAAGCTCAGAAAGACACAAGCAAAGAATCCTACAAACTAGACTGGCCCACAAAGAAAGAGAAACGAAAATAAAAGCAATCCTAAAAGAAAACTAGACCTAGTCAACCACATAGTAACGTAAGCACGTAAAACTCCCCCACACTTAAAATCAGACAATGTCTCCATTGTCGATTCGCGGTGAAGGCGAATTAAACCATATAATTAACCGACAAGCAAAGAAGCTATACAAAATAAAAGAGGAAGAGAAAGAAAAACGTACAAGGCACAGTGATAAGTCACTGTGTGTCCGGGTGTTGTGGTGGAGGTAAGGCAGGTTGACCGGACCCCGAGTTCTATCGGGTGTCCCACTGTTGAAACTGATCGTCCCATTGTTTCCATTTGGCGTACTGCTTGGCTTCCCAACTGTCCCAACAGGCCTCATGCTTCTCCTGCTGCTCATTCAAAATACGGCTTCACTCTTCGACCATTCACCACACATAATTCATGGTTCGCCGGATTGCAAAGTCGAACGGCTCCAAGAGATAGAACTTCATCGATGACATAAGGTCCGCTCCACCGAGACTTGAACTTTCCCGGAAATAGACGAAGACAGGAATTATATATGAGGACTTTCATGCCGGGCACAATGTTTTTTCGAACAATGGAGGCATCGTGGAGTTTCTTGACTTTGTCCTTGTAGATCTTCGATTTCTCGTATGCCTTGTTCCTCCACTCTTCAAGTTCTGAGAGTTGCAGCACCCTCTCCTTTCCGGCTGCATCCAAGTCAAAGTTCACCTTCTTGATAGCCCAAAATGCCTTGTGCTCAATTTCCACTGGAAGATGGCAAGATTTTCCATAAACAACCCGAAACGAGCTCATTCATATGACTCCTTTATACGCTGTCCGTTGGGCCCATAATGCATCGTCAAGTCGATTAGACCAATCCTTCCTAGACGAGTTCACCGTTTTCTTACGTATGGTCTTTATCTTCTTGTTGCTCGTCTCTGCCTGGCCCGACATTTGTGGATGATATGAGGTAGCCACTTTATGTGAGATGCCATATTTCTTCATGAGCTTTTCAAAAATTCGGTTGCAAAAGTGTTTGCCCCCATCACTCACAATGGCCCTTGGGAAACCAAACCTGCTCAAGATATGACCTCGCAAAAACTTGATAACCACGTTAGCATCACACGTCCTTGTGGGGATAGCCTCGACCCACTTGGACACGTAATCCACGGCAAGTAAAATATATTCAAAGCCAAAAGATTTAGGAAAGGGTCCCATAAAGTCAATGCCCCATACATCAAAAATTTCAACTTGCAGATTGTTAACCAGAGGCATCTCATTCCTAGAACCAATATTCCCAATTCTTTGACAGCGGTCACAAGATTTGCAGAAGTTATGAGCATCTTTAAAGAGAGTAGGCAAAAATAAACCTGATTGTAGAATTTTGAAGGCGGTTTTCCTTCCTCCAAAATGGCCTCCACATTGGAACTCGTGGCAAAAAGCGAGAACATCTGCTTGTTCTTATTCGGGTACTCACCTCCGAAGGGTTTCATCTTTCCCCACCTTGAAAAGGAATGGGTCCTCCCAGAAATAACTTCTGCACATCAGAACAAAGCGTTTCCTCTCTTGGGAAGAGAGGTTAGACAACAATATCCCACACGACAAGTAGTTCACAATGTCTGCATACCAAGGAATAGTAGTCACTTCATTGACATGCTCATAAGGAAAATTATCATTTATACGAATACGTTCATGCAATGTGAGTGAAGAATCAGAAGGAACAATGAGAGACAAGTGATCAGCAACAACATTCTCACAACCTTTTCTATCACGAATTTCTACATCGAACTCTTGCAACAATAAAATCCACCGAATGAGTCTAGGTTCCGATTGAGTCTTACTCAAGAGATACCTAAGAGCCGCATGATCAGAATGAACAATTACTTTAGATCCCAAAATGTGAGATCTAATTTTTTCAAGATAAAATATCACGGCCAAAAGCTCTTTTTCGGTGGTGGTATAGTTCAGTTGGGCACCGTTTAAGGTCAAACTAGCATAATAAATTATTGACCCAAGATGGCTCCAACAGCAAGGTTCGATGCATCACACATAATCTCAAAGGCAAAGACCAATTAGAGGCAATAACAATGGGTGCAGTCACAAGCTTATTTTTCAATTTATCAAAGGCTTCTACACATGCCTTATCAAACACAAATGGCACATCATTGGGAAGCAAGTGACACAAAGGCTGGCTAATTTTCAAAAAATCCATAATAAACCTCCTATAAAAACCAGCATGACCCAAAAAGCTTCTAACTCCTATCACATTCACAAGAGGGGGAAGTTTTTCAATAACATCAATCTTTGCCTTATCAACCTCAATACCACGATTAGACACCACATGGCCTAACACAACCCCAATAGTCACCATAAAATGACTCTTCTCCCAACTCAAGGTCAAATTAGATTCAATACATCTTTCAAGCACACGAGATAAGTTATGGAGACAATCAGAAAATGAAGTACCAAAAATAGAGAAGTCATCCATAAATATCTGTAGGCAATCCTCAAGCATATCGGAGAAAAAGGAGAACATGCACCTTTGGAAGGTCCCGAGTGCATTGCATAGGCCGTATGGCATCCGTCTGAACACAAATGTGCCGAATGGGCACGTGAAGGTCGTCTAAGGCTGGTCTTCGGGCGCTATGGCTACTTGGTAGTAGCCGGAGAGTCCATCTAGGAAGCAGTAGAACTAATGGCCCGAGAGACGGTCGAGAATCTGATCGATGAAGAGCAACGGGAAGTGATCCTTCTTTGTCACGGCATTGAGGCGCCGATAGTCTATACACATTCTCCACCCGGTAGTGATTCGGGTAGGGACCATCTCCTTCTTCTCATTCTCGATGACCGTGATGCCTCCTTTCTTTGGCACCACATGGATCGGGCTGAACCATTCGCTGTCTCCCACTAGATAAATGAGCCCTTCTGAATAGAGCTTGAGCACCTCCTTCTTCACCACTTCCATCATATTCGAGTTGAGCCGCCGCTGGCTATCCCGAAATGGCTTGGCACCTTTTTCTAAGATGATCTGGTGCATGCATGTGGAGGGTCTGATGCCTTTTATGTCTCCGAGGCTCCACCCAATGGCCTTCTAATTCTTTTTTAGCACCTCAATTAGCTCATTCTCCTCGTCCCGGTTAAGCTCGGCAAAGATGATGACCGGCTTTTGCTTCTCGTCGTCAAGGAAGACATACATGAGATGACGGGGTAGTTCCTTAAGCTCTGATGTGGGTTGAGTCGGCGTGTGGTGCTCGTCGGCTACAAGGAGTTCAACGGTTGGCTCTTCTTCATTGTCAAAGTCAGGTATGGACTCTCCTCCAACTCTCGCACAGTCATCTCACCAACAAGTGGGTTGGTTACATCAACAAAGGCGCACTCCTCCATGAAGTGCACTGAGGAGGAGGATATAGCTTCTCGAACAGAGATGGATACTGACTTGCCCAGGACCGTCATATTCAATGTCCCGTTCTTGACATCAATTAGGGTGTTGGTGGTAGCCATAAACGGTCTGTCGAGAAGGATTGTGTGATCTTTTCTGTTCTCCTGCACGTCTCCCACGTCTAGAACTACGAAGTCCACCGGGACGATAAGTTTCCCAACACGAACAAGGACATCTTCCACTACCCCTTTAGAGTATCTGATAGAACGGTCTGCGAGGTGAAGGCACATGCGGGTTGGCCTCAAGTCTCCTAGGTCGAGCCGCTGAAAGATAGAGAACGACATGAGGTTGATCCCTGCCCCAAGGTCCAACATCCTCGAAGCTTCTTTCCGTTTCCGAGGGCTATTTGAATCACGAATCCCCTGGGATCTCGTTCCTTCTTCGGAAGATCATGCTGCATAGCACTTGCTGCCTCGTAGAAGACAACTTTCTCTCCATCTCCGAATTTTCTCTTCTTGGTCACTAAGTCTTTGAAAAACTTCACGTAGGAAGGCCTATTCTTGATCACGTCTAAGAGAGGTAGGTTGACGTTGACTTTTGAGAGCATGTTGTAGAGGTCCCGAAATTGCTGCTCCTGCTTCTCTTCTCGAAGTCGGCTTGGGAAACGTATGCTTGGTTTGAAGGGGTTTGATGACTTGTGCAACTTCGAGCCATCTTTCTGCTTCCTCGAATTGGTCACTGTGCTCTTCTCCACACCCTCGTATGTTTCCACGGGCTGGTCGGTCGGCTTTGGTTCATCAAGTTTAGGCATTTCCACGTGATTGTCTACCTCCATCCCACTTCTCAGAACTGTGATTGCTTTGGCTTCCTTAGGCTGGATGGACAACTTCCCTTTATCTGAGTCGGCCTCTATATTCCCAACTCTTGTAGCAAGCTGGCCCAACTGTGTTCCTAGGCGTTGGATAGAGGCATCGGTGTTCACGCCCCTTTGCTCACTGTTAGCCATAAACGGGAGAATCTTGTCCAGCTTGTCGTTTTGATTTGCTGAACTGGGTTCAGCCCCTTGTGCTTGCATTCCTCCCATTGGGCCCCTCTGTTGTTGCTGTTGCTGTTGCTTTGAGGATAATTCGGTCTCATCTGTTGTTGGGGGATGAAAGTGAGACGGGGTTGCTGTTGCATGAAGTTCTGTCGAGGAGGCTGCTGGATGTTGTTGTTGTTAAACCACGAGAGATTTGGGTGATTTCTCCACCCCGGGTTGTATGTGTTTAAGTACGGGACGTTGGCTGGTCGGTTCTGGTAGCCTTGAAGAGCATTGACATCCTCATATTGTTCACCAAAGTCTTGATCGAATACCGAGGGGCATACCTCTGATCTGTGTCCTTGGACTTCACAGGAGCCACATGCTTCAACGGTCATAGTCTGCATTGGTTGGCCTCCCCTTGCATTCAGTAGTCGCATCTGCTCCGTGAGTTCGGCTATCTGATGGGCCATCATGTCTCGCCCAGAAGATACTTCGTGGACCCCGGCCCTCTTTCCTCGACTGCTCTTTTGACAGGAGTTAGAGCTCATCGCCTAATAAATATCATTCATCTCCTCGGTCGTCTTTGCCAAAATATCTTCGCCGGCAGCATTGTCCACCATGTACTGGAGATTCTGGTTGAGAGAGTCATAGAAGTTGTTCATCAACAAGGCCGGTGGGAAGTTATGGTGTGGGCACTTCCTCTAGAGGTCTTTGACGCGCTTTCATGCTTCATGAAGTGGTTCGTTTGGTTGTTGGGCAAAGGAAACGATTTGAGACCGCAACTCCTGCGTCTTTTGGTGAGAGTAGTATTTCCCAATAAACTTGGTGTACACTCGCTCCCAAGTGGTCAGGGAGTCGGGAGCAAGTGTCATAAACCAAGCCTTGGCCCGGTCTTTGAGTATCTTTGGGAAACACATCATCTTCAGCTGGTCCTCTTTTAAGTTGTGGAGTGGGAAGGTCTGGAGGACATTATAGAACTCCCGAATGAAATGGAGTGGGTCCTTGTTGGGTAGACCATGGAAAGATGGCAGCTGGTTGTAGTGGATTGTTTTTAGCTCGTAGTTCCGAGCTGCTGGCCCCAGCTGGATGCATGGAGTCACTGGCCCGATTATTGGTTGAGCCAAATCACGAAGGAGATGACGAGGTGGGTTATTCACTTCCTCCTCACTGTTGTTTGCCATGTCTCCCTGACTATCTGAGTATCGGTTAGCTGAGTCTGAAGATACAGGTGCAAGGTTAGCCAACAATTCCTGGAGGTCTCTCTGGATGGATTCATTGTTCGGAATGATTACACGACCACTCTTAGTACGCATAAACAAAAACAACAAAAACATCACGAGCACCAAATAGATAAGAAAAAGACAAAGAAAAACCAAACAAGAAAACACTAGAACCAATCAAAGAAAACGAAACAAAGAGAAACACACAAAACAAGAAAGAAACACTGAAAACAAAATGAATAGGAGCACAAAATAAGTCCTAAACCTTCCCTGGCAATGGCGCCATTTTGTTGTAGTTATTTTTACCGGAGTTAAATCGAAAGGTTCGAACACCGGGTCGTATCTTAAGGAAGGTCAGCCGGATAATTTGTACGGATATTCAATCACACGAAAAAGAAAATAAATTCCTAAACACTCTAATTCAATAATTTTGGTTTTCAATTATCAACTAATTAATTCTCAAACAATGCAAATAAACAATTATCAATACTTAAAACGAGTTTCTTCTACGTACGAAGGCTAGAGAATCGGGGATAATTATACTCAAATCAAATTCAAACACCAAGCAAAAATCGTTCGGCTAAATGATTCACTCAACACATCTAGAAATTATTCCTCAATAACTTCTCGTAACAAGAGGAAAAATATAGACAGCAAATCAAACTAATCGATTAACACGTAGGCAATACAATTACGAACAAGCCTACTCTAGTCGAGCCTAGATCGACCGACTTCTCCCCTTTCGGTTCTACAAGTCGATTAATTAGATCAGAATGGTGATGAAGCATCTAACCCTAGGTTTAAATCAACTCAAAAAGATTGAACGAAATTCACAAGCAAGATAAGCACACGAGTACGAGTAATCACCCCCTATCCCTAGCTTAAGAATTTAGCCACTCATGCCAAGATGAACACAAGACATAGTATAAAGCAAATACTCCAAACTCATAATCAAAATGAGAAGAAAGCTTACGATAAATAAAAGTCAAGTGTTGAATCTCAAGCACAATCCAAATCCACGATGAAATTCCTTGAGTATCACTCCCAAAAATCTCAAAATAAGCCAAAGATAAAAGAAACAAGTTTTTCGTCTGATAAAACGAGAGAAAAATGAAAAGTGCGAAATGAATCATATGCCCTAGCCCGATCCTCCTAAATAGGAATAACATTTCGAAATTTAAAAGTCCCGGCACCGCGGCGCGAGGCCTGCCGCGACGCGACGTGATGATGTGGCAGAAGTCGTGGTCTTCAATCACGGCGTGAAGGAGCTGAATTGCCGCGGCGCTAGGCATGTCACGGCGTGGCAGCTGGGGAAGCTCGACTTCTCTGTACGCCCGTGGAGACCGTCGCGGCGTGGCTATCGGCGTGGGAGAGCGGAAGTCCACGGCGTGGCAGCTAGAGAAGAATCGTCTGAAGGCCCATTCGAGGCCCCGCGTGTGTGGTCGCGCCGTGAAAGGAGTGAAGTGCCGCGACGCGAGACTCGCCGCGGCATTGCAACTGGGAAGGCTCGATAGTGCATGTGCTTTGTATAACCAAGACAACTCGACTTGGTAAACTTCGAACACTTAGTCAAATATCCGAACCTGCACACCTCCAAAAACAAGAATAACACCCGAAAACAGAGGAAACAACCGAATATACGAAAATAATGAAATAATAGAAATATATCACACAATGACTCGAGGACAGAAAATCCTATCGAAAAACCTAAACCGGGGGCTAAAAACCTATAAACCAACAAGCAAAAAGATAACAAAAATGGGACAAACAAGAGAAGGGAAAGCTGGTCATTTTTCCTGATAAATCTCCGGCAACATGTTGTCAGCGACAGACAGATATGCTTTCTTTCGGACAGGGATATGGGATTACAGAGTGTCGTGGAATCATTGAAAGCTTGGCAAGAACCCGCTGCATATCACCGTATTTGTCTTCGACACCTTCAGAGCAACGTGGTTACTAGGTTCAGGAGTAAGAAAATCCGAAATTGGTGTTGGGAGTTGGGTTCACAGGTTTCAGAGCAAAAATTTCAACAGATACGAGAGCGGGTTTCAGATTTTAATCCGGAAGCATACGATTACTTGTTCGGAATTCCTCTGAACAAGTGGACTCTGTTTGGAGACGGAGGACGTAGATGGGGTACATTGACAACCAATATGTCTGAGAGTTACAACAACGTCCTGAAAGGTGTTAGGTTCTTGCCCTGCCGAGCTTTGGTACACGCCACAATCATGAAAACTCTGTACTTGTTTGAGCAGGAACAAAAGAAGTCCACGAGATGCAGTAATGTCATTGCTAGTGCCCACTATGCCGCTTATTGCGAATTGGAGACTACGGCCGCAACTCATAAGGTGCAATGTGCGAACGTGGAGAGATCCATGTACAAGGTGACAACCGGTCTACGGGATCATGGTTCATTAAAATTTTTAGTTGTTTATAAATATAATTCAATGTGGAAAAACAGGTATAAGGTTTCGTACGACCGGATGCGTTGTAGTTGTCTGAAGTGGCAGACACATAGAAAACCATGCTCTCATGCTATAGCTGTGTGTCGTCAACTTGGGGCTCCACCAAAGTTCTTGTATGATCCCCACTTTTGGACGGAGAACTGGGTAGCTCAATTTTCTAATTGGAGTTTCGTTCTGATTCGTGATCCAGACACATGGCCGCCGGTCGGATGGAACTTACTACCACATTGGGAGAGGATCATCACGAAGGCTGGACCTGGTCGCGCGCAAACGAAGCGTCATCGCATGCAAATGGATCGTCGGGCACGCCGCTAGAATGATGGAGGACAGTGTAGTAGATGTGGTAATCCAGAGCATTTTGTGGATGACTGTCCGTCCTCACATCCTCGCACTGATAGATCTAGACTCCGTGATGAGTGGAGAAACTAGATTTGTTAGTGTTTATTTTTGTTATGTTAGACTATTTTTTTTTATTGTTTACTTTGATTTGTTAGACTATTCTTGAATGATATATTTTTGTTATGTTGGACTGTCTATGAGTTGATTTGTTTGTGTATTTTTGGTGTAGCTGGTTGTTCTGAATATGTGTATCAGGTTTTTAAATGGTGAAACAAGCGACCAGAACAATTTTCTTTTTTTTTTCATATAACAGTTAAAAACGTATTTCTCAAATACGTTTTCAAAAACATTAAATATTAAAAAACGTATTTCTGTAATACGTTTTCTATATACAAAAAAAAATAATAATATAAAAAAACTCGCGACTTACACCTACCCGCGAGGTGGTCTCGCGCGAGCAAGAATGGCCTGCAGTTCTGGGCTTGCCCTTGGCTTGCTCGGTTTAGATTTCTGGGTGGGGCGGCTCGGTCGGCTTTGAACAACACGTTTTCCCATGTTCGTCGAAAGGAACCTATTTAAATTAATTATGTGATTTTAATTAGATAATATATAGTATATAATATATAGTATATAATATATAACATATAGTATATAGTATATAAACAATATAACATATAGTATATAACATATAACATATAGTATATAGTATATAACAAATAACATACAACATATAGCATATAGTATATAACAAGTACATATAACATATAGTATATAGTATATAACAAATAACATATAACATATAACATATAGAATGTAACATATAACATATAGTATATAGTATATAAGGGATGTAGCGTAGGCTCTTTGGATCAGGTAGGATAAATATAGACTAACTGCTAAAATAAACAAAATCAAATCAACTCAATCAGATAACCATAATCATGAACTCTTTCGGTTGCTGACACCAACCGGTTCCTCCCACTACTCCAAAACCAACATACTTCCCAAATTATTCACCATATCTCTTTTTTTTTTTGTGAGAACCTTCGGACATTTTATGTAATCCATTCGGTTTCTTTTTTTTTTTTTATCTAATTATATATATACAAACACGAATCACCTCTAATTCTACACCCGCAACTCCACAATATCATCGTCACGAGGTTATAAAAGATAGAAAATCAATAAGGCTCAAAGGGGGTGACTAGCGAAATTATTTTCAGAAAAAGAAAAGGGAAAGGAAATACAAAGAATGCCTCAATCATATTCACGTTCATAAATCCAATTATTTCATTTTTAAGTAGACTCAAGGCAAATTCTAATTGACAACGATTCTGACGAATAACTCACAAGAAAAGAAATGAACGTGGCTCAAACCTCACAAGGTGAAATAAATGTCGACAAAACAACCAAGCCAATTCATCAAAATGTGCCACTCATTCTCATCATCACAACTTCTTAACCCAATCAATCAATCATTAACCATTCTTACAATACACCAAAGTCCAAGGTCAGAAAGACACAAGCAAATAATCCTACAAACTAGACCGGCCCACAAAGCAAGAGAAAAGAAAATAAAAGCAATTCTAAAAGAAAACTAGACCTGGTCAACCACCACGTAAGCACGTAAAACTCCCCCACAATTAAAATCAAACAATGTCCCCATTGTAGATTCGCGGGTGAAGGAGAATTAAACCATATAATTAACTGACAAGCAAAGAAGTTGTACAAAATAAAAGAAGAAGAGAAAGAAAAACGTACAAGGCACAGTGACAAGTCACTGTGTGTCCGGGTGTGGTGGTGGAGGTAAGGCAGGCTGACCGGACCCCGAGCTCCATCGAGTGTCCCATTGTTGAAACTGATCGTCCCATTGTTTCCATTTGGCGTACTGCTTGGCTTCCCAACTATCCCAACGGGCCTCATGCTTCTTCTGCTGCTCCTTCAAAATACGGCTTCACTCTTTGACCATTCACCACAAATAATTCATTGTTCGCCGGATTGCGAAGCCGAACGGCTCCAAGAGATAGAACTTCATCGATGACATAAGGTCCGCTCTACCGAGACTTGAGCTTTCCCGGAAATAGACGAAGACGGGAATTATATAGGAGGACTTTCATGCCGGGCACAAGGCTTTTTCGAACAATGGAGGCATCGTGGAGTTTCTTGACTTTGTCCTTGTAGATCTTCGAGTTCTCATATGCCTCGTTCCTCCACTCTTCGAGTTCCGAGAGTTGCAGCATCCTCTCCTTTCCGGCTGCATCCAAGTCAAGGTTCACCTTCTTGATAGCCCAAAATGCCTTGTGCTCAATTTCCACCGGAAGATGGCAAGATTTTCCATAAACAACCCGAAACGGGCTCATTCCCAAGACTCTTTTATACACCGTCCGTTGGGCCCAAAATGCATCGTCAAGCCGATTAGACCAATCCTTCCTAGACGAGTTCACCGTTTTCTCAAGTATGGTCTTTATCTGCTTGTTGCTCGTCTCTGCCTGGCCCGACGTTTGTGGATGATATGGGGTAGCCACTTTATGTGAGATGCCATATTTCTTCATGAGCTTTTCAAAAATTCGGTTGCAAAAGTGTTTGCCCCCATCACTCACAATGGCCCTTGGGAAACCAAACCTGCTCAAGATATGACCTCGCAAAAACTTGATAACCACGTTAGCATCACACGTCCTTTTGGGGATAGCCTCGACCCACTTGGACACGTAATCTACGGCAAGTAAAATATATTCAAAGTCAAAAGATTTAGGAAAGGGTCCCATAGAGTCAATGCCCCATACATCAAAAATTTCAACTTGCAGATTGTTAACCAGAGGCATCTCATTCCTAGAACCAATATTCCCAATTCTTTGACAGCGGTCATAAGATTTGCAAAAGTTATGAGCATCTTTAAAGAGAGTAGGCCAAAATAAATCTGATTGGAGAATTTTGAAGGCGGTTTTCCTTCCTCCAAAATGGCCTCCACATTGGAACTCGTGGCAAAAAGCGAGAACATCCGCTTGTTCTTCTCCGGGTACACACCTCCGAAGGATTTCATCTTTCCCCACCTTAAAAAGGAATGGGTCCTCCCAAAAATAACTCCTGCACATCAGAACAAAGCGTTTCCTCTCTTGGGAAGAGTGGTTAGACAACAATATTCCACACGACAAGTAGTTCACAATGTCTGCATACCAAGGAATAGTAGTCACTTCATCGACATGCTGATAAGGAAAATTATCATTTATACCAATACGTTCATTCAACGAGAGTGAAGAATCAGAAGGAACAATGCGAGACAAGTGATCAGCAACAACATTCTCACAACCTTTTCTATCACGAATTTCTACATCGAACTCTTGCAACAATAAAATCCACCGAATGAGTCTAGGTTTCGATTGAGTCTTACTCAAGAGATACCTAAGAGCCGCATGATCAGAATGAACAATTAAATTTGATCCCAAAATGTAAGATCTAAATTTTTCAAGAGAAAATATCACGGCGAAAAGCTCTTTTTCGGTGGTGGTATAGTTCAGTTGGGCACCGTCTAAGGTCAAACTAGCATAATAAATTACACGAAGTAACTTATCAACTCGTTGACCAAGACGGCTCCAACAGCAAGGTTCGATGCATCACACATAATCTCAAAAGGCAAAGACCAATCAGGGGCAATAACAATGGGTGCAGTCACAAGCTTATTTTTCAATTTATCAAAGGCTTCTACACATGCCTTATCAAACACAAATGGCACATCATTGGCAAGCAAGTGACACAAAGGCTGGCTAATTTTCGAAAAATCCTTAATAAACCTCCTATAAGAACCAGCATGACCCAAAAAGCTTCTAACTCCTTTCACATTCACAAGAGGGGGAAGTTTTTCAATAACATCAATCTTTGCCTTATCAACCTCAATACCACGATTAGACACCACATGGCTAACACAACCCCACTAGTCACCATAAAATGACTCTTCTCCCAACTCAAGGTCAAATTAGATTCAATACATCTTTCAAGCACACGAGATAAGTTATGGAGACAATCAGAAAATGAAGTACCAAAAATAGAGAAGTCATCCATAAATATCTGTAGGCAATCCTCAAGCATATCGGAGAAAATGGAGAACATGCACCTTTGGAAGGTCCCGGGTGCTTTGCATAGGCCGAATGGCATCCGTCTGAACACAAATGTGCCGAATGGGCACGTGAAGGTCGTCTTAGGCTAGTCTTCGGGCGCTATGGCTACTTGGTAGTAGCCGGAGAGTCCATCTAGGAAGCAGTAGAACTAATGGCCCGAGAGACGGTCGATAATCTGATCGATGAAGAGCAACGGAAAGTGATCCTTCTTTGTCACGGCATTGAGGCGCTGATAGTCTATACACATTCTCCACCCGGTAGTGATTCGGGTGGAGACCATCTTCTTCTTCTCATTCTCGATGACCGTGATGCCTTCTTTCTTTGGCACCACATGGATCGGGCTGACCCATTCGCTGTCTACCACTAGATAAATGAGCCCTTCTGAATATTCGGGTTAAGCCGCCGCTGGCTATCCCGAAATGGCTTGGCACCTTCTTCTAAGATGATCTGGTGCATGCATGTGGAGGGTCTGATGCCTTTTATGTCTCCGAGGCTCCACCCAATGGCCTTCTGATTCTTTTTTAGCACCTCAATTAGCTCATTCTCCTCGTCCCTGTTATGCTCGGCAAAGATGATGACCGGCTTTTGCTTCGCGTCGTCATGGAAGATATACATGAGATGACGGGGTAGTTCCTTAAGCTCTGATGTGGGTTGAGTCGGCGTGTGGTGCTCATCGGCTACAAAGAGTTCAACAGTTGGCTCTTCTTCATTGTCAAAGTCTGGTATGGACCTCTCCTCCAACTCTCGCACAGTCATCTCACCAACAAATGGGTCAGTTACATCAACAAAGGCGCACTCCTCCACGAAGTGCACTGAGGAGGAGGATATAGCTTCTCGAACAGAGATGGATACTAACTCGCCCAGGACCGTCATATTCAATGTCCCGTTCTTGACATCAATTAGGGTGTTGGTGGTAGCCATAAACGGTCTGCCGAGAAGGATTGTGTGATCTTTTCTGTTCTCTTGCACGTCTCCCACGTCTGGAACTACGAAGTCCACCGGGACGATAAGTTTTTCCCAACACGAACAAGGACATCTTCCACTACCCCTTTGGGGTATCTGATAGAACGATCTGTGAGCTGAAGGCACATGCGGGTTGGCCTCAAGTCTCCTAGGCCGAGTCACTGGAAGATAGAGAACGTCATGAGGTTGATCCCTGCCCCAAGGTCCAACATCCTCGAAGCTTCCTTTCTGTTTCCGAGGGCTATTTGAATCAAGAAACCCCCGGGATCTCGTTCCTTCTTCGGAAGATCATGCTGCATAGCACTTGCAACCTCGTAGACCACCACTTTCTCTCCATCCCCAAATTTTCTCTTCTTGGTCACTAAGTCTTTAAAAAACTTCAAGTATGAAGGCATGTTCTTGATCACGTCTAGGAGTGGTAGGTTGACGTTGAATTTTGAGAGCATGTTGTATAGGTCCCGAAATTGCTGCTCCTGCTTCTCGTCTCGAAGTCAGCTTCGGAAAGGTATGCTTGGTTTGAAGGGGTTTGATAACTTGT